TTTCTCTCCAGATACTGAGGGAGACAGACGTGTGTCTCTCTCCAAAAAAAGACTCTTCACTATCTATAAGTAGGGTAAAGTTTAGATAAATCCAGTAGGTTTTATTGTTTTATGGTTTGGGAATGGGAATCTGATGTCTGTGCATTTAAAATGGGTTTTCTCTCCTTTGTAACTAAGTTTTGGGCCATGATGGAATTCCCTATGAGTTTATTAATCGGTGACTTTTCCATCATCACTATGCCTGTAACAGGAGTATTGTGGTGATAATAAAAGTTCTTTCACTTTCTTTTTTTATTAACCTAGTATTGGGTAATTTTTTTTGTGTCCTGGATTTTACTTTAGGGCTGAGATTTCCCAAGTGATCTCTTCTCTGGTTTCCTTATCATTACTTGGGAGGTGGCAGCGGATTTTTAGCCCCAAAAGTTAGGTTTTTAAGATTTGGGGGGAAGCTTTATTCCAAAGCCTGGAAAGAGAAGGTTTGGGGGTACTTTTGCAGGCATCCACTTCTGCATTTATCATGCCAGAGTGGGGAAGGAGCTTTGACACATGTGCATAGGGGATCTGGGGATCTGGCAATGGTTTCTCAGGAGCCATGCCGAGCTCCACCAGGCCTCAGCTCCCCAGTTCTCTGCCCCAGTCCAGAGTACCCTCCTGCAACCATCACAGAGCTAACCCCCCACTCCCTTCCCAAAACCACAACTCCATGCCCCGGCCCTTTGTCCTCTCCTGCACCCGAAACTCCTCATTTCCGACCCCACTTCAGAGCCACATCCCAACAGAAAATTGCACTCCTCCTGTGCTCCGAGCATCTCAGCCCCAGCCCTGAGCCCCACATCCCATATAGCTGGCCCTACCCCAGAGCACACCCCCCCAGCATGAGTCCTCACCCCAAAGTCTGCCCCATCCCAGAAAGTGAGGTGGGGGAGAATGAGAGACAGAGGCAGGGAGGATGAAGCAAGCCAAGAGGGTGCCTCACAGAAAGGGCGGGGCCTCAGGAAATGGGTGGGACAAGAGGGTTGATATCCAAAAGGAGGTGGAGGAAGAGTGGGTGCAGTGTTCGGGGTGCCAGTCTATCAATGTCTTTATTGTCGCCATCAAAATTCTGTAAAATCACCCATCAGTTTGGGAGTGGTAGATTAACCCTCCAAACGTCTTTCCCCAGATCTTTCATTAGCTGCAGCATTCCCAAATAGAGTTCAGATGACATTACACACAAAAACCATGGGTTGCTAGGCTGAACAGTCTGCAAGATTCAGTTTAGCCTGGGAATCGGAGCCCCTGGTGTAGGCAAATTATTTCTTCATTCTCCGGAGGCTCTCAAACTGAAGATCTCTGGGGTCTAAATTTTACTCTGCTCATGGAGCCAAGGGAATTGTCTAGCCGCTCTGTCACACTGAGAGTCCACAGAGACTGTCCAGGGGAATCATAAAGATCGGGCCCATCAGGGAGAGGGTCAGACACGTGAGAACCACACGCTGATTCATAGGGCTCTGCCTGGTTTTTGCAGGGAGGAGATTTCTTCTCTCTGCTGAACACAAGTATGGTGAGTTGCATGCTTCTGGCAATTGAAGGACAGGGAAGCAGGCAATGCTGAGGGGGTGAGGGTAATCAGGGGAGGACAGGGACAGGTGAGCTGTGCTGGAGGGTGTAGGGGGGCGGGGCGAGGTGAACACAGACGAGCAGCCCTGGAGAGATGGAGTTTCGTTTTTGTAATTGTTGGTCCAAGGCTGGTGCTGAGACCTTTCCCAATCCTGAGTGCGTTTGTATGGGTCTCCTGATCCCTTCACCCTGGCTAGCCACAGAACTGCAGATGGGGTGTTTCCAATAGCCGTTGAATATTAATTACAACACACCAGGCATTTCTCTGGTGGAAAGAACCAGATTTTTGCTGCTTCCATCTCCCAGATTTTTGTAGCCTCCTTCCCCAGGCCAGGCTCCCCTGCTTCTAATACCACACGGGTCACCAGTGTCTTGTCTACACTCTCCAGTCGTCCCTGACTCCCACAGCCTCTCGACTGCCCCAAGCTTCCTACAGCTCCTTTTTCTTGTGTCTCTTCTCTGAACCCCCATCAGTGTATCAAGATCCATCTTTAATTGAGGACATGAGAATATAAGAACAGCCAGACGGGGTCAGGCCAACGGTCCATCCAGCCCAGTATCCTGTCTGCCAACAGTGGCCAATACCAGATGCCCCAGAGGAAGGGAACTCAACAGGTAATCCTCACGTGATCCCTCCCCTTCACCCAGCTCCAGAGAAACAGAGTCTAGGGACACCATTCCTACCCATCCTGGCTAATAGCCATTGATGGACCTAAACTCCATGAATCTGTCTAGCTCTTTTTTGAACCTGTTAAAGTCCTACACTTCACCACATCCTCTGGCAAGGAGTTCCACAGATTGTGCGCTGAGTGAAGAAAAACTTCCTTGTATTTGTTTTAAACCTGTAGCCTATTAATTTCATTTGGTGACCCTTAGTTCTTAAACTGTAGAAATATGTAAATACATTTCCTTATTCACTTTTTCCACATCAGTCATGATTTTATAGACCTCTATCGTATACCCCTCTTAGTATCCTCTTTTCTAAGCTGAAAAGTCTAAGTCTTTTTAATCACTCTTAATATGGGACCCGTTCCAAACCCTAATAATTTTTGTTCCCCTTTTCTGAACATCTTCCAATGCCAATATATGTGTGTGTGTGTGTGTGTGTATATATTTGAGATGAGGCGACCATATCTATATGACAGTATCAAGATGTGGGCATAGCATTGTTTTCTATAGCGGCAATAAGATATTTTCTGTCTTATTTTCTATCTCTTTTTGAAATTATTCCTAACATTCAATTTTTTTGTTTGCCTGCTGCTGCGCACTGAGTGGATGTTTTCAGAGAACTATCGACAATGACTCCAAGATCTCTCTCTTGAGTAGTTGTAGCTAAATTAGTAACCATTACATTGTATGTATAGTTGGAATTATTTTTTCCACTGTGCTTTACTTTACATTGATCGACATTAAATTTCATTTGCCATTTTGTTTCCCACTCACTTAGTTTGGTGAGATTTTTGTGAAGCTCTTCACAATCTGCTTTGGTCTTAACTACCTTGTGGAGTTTGGTATCATCCTCAAATTTTGCCACCTCACAGTGTATCCCTTTCTCTAGATCATTTATAAATAAGCGGCGAACAGTGAGGTGGCAAAATTTGCAGCGCACAGCTGAACTGGAGACTGGATCCCAACAGCTGTCACACCCATACCAAATACAGAGATAAGGCTTCTTGTTCTTAGTATGTAGTTATTGTCATGGCTATATTAGAATATATATTGTCTGCTTTGCCACAGTTAACCAGCCAATCCAGATTTCTCTCAATCACTGACCTATCTTCTTTCTCATTTACGATTCCCTGATTTTCCTGTTATTTGGAAACTTTAGCAATGTTCAGGCAGGATAAGCATAACCAACTGAGTTGGTGACATGTGTCTCTGTTTATACTTGTCAGCAAACACCTGCCACTGAAGTCCAGGCACAGCCAGGTGTGTAGAAGAAAGTGACTCACCAAAAGAAATAAGGGAATTAACCAAGGTGCAGATGTGTGGCCTCACATACCAATATCCTTGCTCACAGAAAGTCTTAGCCAACAAGGATAATGTCTCTTTCCATAGGGAAAACTTGGCTCCATTCCAACTTAGGAATTGCATTGTGGATCAGACAGACAGTCCACCTAGTCCCGGGTCCTCTCTGTGACAACGAAAAACCCAGGTGTTGCGTTTGGATCAGACAGACAGTCCACCGGGTCCAGGGTCCTCTCTGTGACAACGAAAAACCCAGGTGTTGCGTAGGAAGGTGTAACAAACCCAGCAGTCAGTGGTTGTGGGGATAAATTGACCATTGTGAGGGTATCACCCCAGGGGTGGCCCGTGCATATTGGCAGACTTGGCAGTCACCTAGGGCACCGGGTTTAATGGGGGACCCAATGACGACACATTGCCGTTGAGGGCTTTGGATGCGGGGGCACCAATCGCGCATTCCGCCTCGGGCACCAGTTGCTGGCAGCTCGTCTCAGGCCGCCCCGTGTCACCCTAATGCCTGACAGCTAGAGATTGGCATTTGCCCTAGAAAACACAGTAATATATTGTCTTTGGAAAAGGATTATTTAGCTGTAACTATGGTAACTGTATCGTCTCATCAAAGAAGGTAAATATTAGGCAATGTGAGATAAATTAGACATTGAGTGAAGAGAACTCTTTTGAATTGCCCCATTTCACCTCAGTTGAATGTCCTCTTGATAGTATTTTGTGAGACAGGAAGATCACAGTTTCGATCTACTCTCCACCAGTCAGTAATTTATACACTTTTCTCATATCCCCGGCTATTCATTTCATTTCCAAGGTAATTATCTCATTCCCAGGCCTTATAAAACCCTGGCTCTCAGTCATTTTCCACTGCCTTCCCATGCATCCTTCTATCTTTTTTGAAAAGTGTGCCTAGCGCTGCACAGTGACATCTTGAGGAGGGTGAAACACAGACTGACCGTTCTCAGGGCGTTGCATTTTCTCTATGATTTTTTATTCCCGCCTTTTGAATCCCAATGTTTTGCTTAGGTTCTGTCCATGGTTGCATTATGAGTAAGGTATCATAGCAGGCACTAAGACGCCAAACAACCAGTCCTTAGTTTGTAGAGTTCAATTAGAACCTGACTAAATGTGTGTAGAGTATACTTTTTTTTCCCCCTTCAAGGAGCAGCTGTTGATATTGATGTTCATCTACCGTGATGTCTATTCACGTGGTGTGGTGAGCTCACTGTAATGACTTCTCTTGACTTGCCTATGACCTACATTTCATGGAGAAAACTGTAAATGTTACCACATCATTGTTCACACACTTTTCTACTCAAATATATTCTAGTTTTTGTTCATAAGCGTGTAACTCCATGCCCCCTTGATTTGCTTCTTCTTTCACAGGACCCTGAAGCTTTTCAGAGCCCAAACCACACACCAACCACCTCATGGCAGCTTCCAACCTAACCCCCTCTGAACCTTCATCCTTCATCCTAACGGGCATCCCTGGCCTGGAAGATGCCCATGTCTGGATTGCAATCCCTTTCTGTATGTGCTACATGGTCAGCTTGGTGGGAAATTTCATGGTTCTGATTGTTGTTGGCAAAGAGCAGACCTTGCACAAGCCGATGTATCTGCTGCTCTGCATGCTGGCATTCACAGACATTGCCATGTCCACCTCCGTTGTGCCTAAGGCCCTGTGTATATTTTGGTTCAATTGGAAAGGCATTACGGTGGGAGGTTGCCTCACCCAGTTGTTCTTCCTACATGCCGCTTCCATGACACACTCAGCCGTCCTTACAACAATGGCCTTCGATCGCTATGTTGCCATATGTGACCCTCTGAGATACACCACCATCCTCAGCAATGCAAGAATAGCTACCTTAGGGCTTGTGGGTTTGCTAAGAGCTGTTCTCCTCATGCTGCCTCTGCCCCTCTTCTTAAGCAGGCTGCCATTTTGTGCCAGCCGCACTATCGCCCATACATACTGTGAGAACATGGCCGTGGCAAAGCTGTCATGTGGGGACATTAAAGTCAACAGCATGTACAGCTTGGTGGTAGCATTTACAGTTAGTGGATTAGACTTGATGCTCATTGCTCTTTCCTATGGTCTGATCCTCAGGGCTGTCCTCAGAATCTCCTCCCAGACAGCCCACCAGAAGGCTCGCAACACCTGCACCGCCCACATCTGCGTGATAGTTATTAATTATACTCCAGGCTACTTCACCAGCTTGACACACCGATTCGGTCAGGGCATCGCTCCCCATATTCACATTATCTTGTTATTTTGTCCTCCCTCCCATGCTCAACCCCATCATTTATGGGGCCAAAACCAAAGAGCTACGTGACACAGTGGGCAAATACACCTGCAGCACATGATCACCTGGGACCTTTGAGTTCAAACCTAAGTGACAAAAGGCGAGCAGACATCTTCTCATGCTCAGAAAGATAAAGACCAGCAAAGGAACTATGATGCTGAATTTCTTTGTCATATGTGCAGTGATTATGGTGAATCAAATTTACCTGATTTGTCTATTTCCAATCCTTCAGGAAGCCTGAAAGATAACCAAATGTGTCATCTGGAAACCGCTGGTACAGGAAAAGCTGCTGTTGGAATTAACGGTATTCTACTAGCACTTGTGAGAGAGATTTATGGAACTGTGTGTTTTTGAGAATGATTGTGCTGTGTTACACTATGACATCAACTTTGGGACAAATAACTTACCAATTTACAGATTTGCTCTTGAAGTAATTTTTAAGTTGGAACTTCCAAAACATGCACTAACCATTCCTGTGTGAAAGACGTTTAAGTATGTGTTGTGATTTCATGCTGATGATTGTGAAATAGGTGAAACGATTCCTGCCAAACATCTAGGTGACTGCCACTTTTCAGTACCATGTCCTTCTCCAGTGCTCAACTCCTTATGACATAGAGTTCCTGAGCTCTCATTGTTGCCATTTTTGGTGGAATTTTTGGATAATTGGAGCACCATTGAACAGTTTTGCTTGGGGTTCACTGGCCTCATGCTACGGAAAACCAAACTGACTAGTTTTGCATTGAAGTTTTTGAACACGTATATGCTATGGAGGACAAAGATGTTAATGAAAATGGATTGTTTGCTCTTTCATTGCAGTCACTACGTTTTAGCTACAGTACAACTGAAAGATCATTTTCTCAGTTGAACATGATAAAAACAAAACTGCACAACAAGATCGAAAAGGAACTTCCAGAAAATATTCTCCTTGCTAGGTTGTACATGTAATGACACAAACTCTGTTTTGAACCGTTTTTACAAATAAATAAATAAATATTTGCAGTCTACTTCTAAGGCAAAATAGCTCTAAAAGGCATATTTCATCGTTGACATCAGTAACTAAGAGGGGTAGCTGAGCTAGCCTATAAGTTTAAAAACAACAGATAGTCAGGTGGAGCCTTAGACTAACAAAAATATGGAGAGTATCAAACATAAATAAAGATTTACCTATCTCATAGAACAGGAAAGGACCCTGAGAGGTCACTGAGTCCAGTCCCCTGCCCTCATGGCAGGCCTATGCGCTGTGTGAAGAAGAACTTTCACTTATTAGTTTTAAACCTGCTACCCATTAATTTCATTTGGTGTCCTCTAGTTCTTCTATTATGGGAACTAATAAATAACTTTTCTTTATTTGCCCTCTCCACACCATTCATGATTTTATAGATCTCTATCATATCCCCCCTCAGTCTCCTCTTTTCCAAACTGGAAAGTTCCAGTCACTTTAGCCTCTCTTCTTATGGGACCCGTTCCAAACCCCTAATCATTGTAGTTGCCCTTTTCTGAACCCTTTCCAAGGCCAAAATATCTTTTTTGAGGTGAGGAGACCACATCTGTACACCGTACTCATGATGTGGGCATAGCATAGTTTTATACAGGGTCAGTAAGATATTCTGTGTCTTATTTTCTATCCCTTTCTTAATAATTCCTCACATTCTATTTGCTATTCTGACCACCGTAGCACACTGTGTGGACATTTTCAGAGAACTTTCCACGATACCTCCAAGATCTCTTTCCTGAATTGTTGTAACCAAATTAGCCCCCATCATACCATATGTATAGTTGCGGTTATTTTTTCCAGTGTGCATTACTTTATAATTATCCACATTAAACTTCATTTGCCATTTTGTTGCCCAATCACTCAGTTTGGTGAGATCTTCTTGGAGTCCCTCATCCCACTCTGCTTCTATCTTGACTATCTTGAACAGTTTAGTATCATCCGCAAACTTTACTACCTCACTGCTTGCCCCTTTCTCTAGATCGTTTATGGATAAGTTGAATAGGTTTAGTCCTAGGACTGACCCTTGTACCTTGCTATTACTGTGTTCCATTAATTCTCTTAATTCCACCATGTTTCTGTGAGGCCCATTGTCAGTATCCTCATGTAATACAAGGCCATCAAGTTCACCTATATTATTTAGACTTCTAGAATTAGCATATAAACACATTAAAATAGTGTTTGATTGGCTGTCTTCTGGACACCAGACCTGTGAAAAATAACGGGCAAGGTCTCAAGCTGAAGACCAATACAGCTGCCTCTTTGGATGTTCTGTAATACATGCCTGTAGTAATATCCAAGGTGAGGAATTACTATTTTTAAGCGATTCCTTTAGTTCATCAAAACTTAGTTTGTGTATTTGTTTTATTTGCTTAGTAAACTGCTTTGTTCTGTTTGCTACCCAGTTAATCACTTAAAATCACATGTATAGTTTATAACCTTATTTCTTGTTTATAATATAACCCCATTAGTATAATTCATAATTTAGGGGGAGGGGGAAGCTGTGAATGCCTTCCGCCACATTGAGGGAGGAAGGAGATAACATTATGTATCTTAGGGTCTCAACTCCAAGGGAGAAGGACACCTGATTTCTGGGGCAAGTCCCTTAAATTAATAGAATCATAAAATCATAGAACTGGAAAGGTCCTCGAGAGGTCATCAGGTCCAGTTCCCTGCCTTCACGGCAGGACCAAGCACTGTCTAGATCAGGGAGGGCAATAATTTTTGCCAGGAACCACTTCAAATTTTTTAAGTAGCCACCAGGCTGCATTGGAAGGGGGGAACCTCAAATGGAAAGGGTGGGGCCAGGATGCTTTGGGCTTCCCCACCCACAAAACATGATTGGTCTGGGGGAGCCTTTTTGCTCCCCACCCTCTGCCGCTTCCCACTAAGCACCCATGCTCCTGGTAGTGAGAGAGACTTCCCGTGCTCCCCCACCCTCAGGCTGTGCACTCCTCACAGGGTGGGGACAGGGTGCAGGAAACTTTGTGCGCTCCTCCCGCCCCCAGGCCAATCAGGGCTTAGGGGCAGAGGAGCGCGTGAAGTCGCCTCCCGCGCTGCTAGGAGCATGCGGTCCTTCAAAGTGCCACATGCTCCTGGCATGGCAGAGGGAACTTCATGTGCTCTATTTCACCCGGGGGAGAAGCAGGGCCTCCATGGCCAGATCAAACCGCTTGGTGGGCTGAATCTGGCCTCTGGAAGGCCTTTTGCCCACCCCTGGTCTAGATCATCCTGACAGGTGTCTGTCTAACCTGCTCTTAAATGTCTCCAGTGATGAAGATTCCACAACCTCCCTCTGCAACTTATCCCAGTGTTTAACCACCATGACAGTTAGGAAGTTTTTCCTAATGTCCAACCTAAACCTCCCTTGCTGCATTTTAAGCCCATTGCTTTGTGTCCTATCCTCAGAGGCCAAGGAGAACAATTTTTCTCCCTCCTCCCTGTGACACCTTTTTAATTACCTGAAAACCTCTATCATGTCCCCTCTTAGTCTTCTCTTTTCTAAACTAAAGAAGCCCAGTTCTTTCAGTCTTCCCTCAGAGCTCATGTTTTCTAGACCTTTCCTCATTTTTGTTGCTCTTCGCTGCACCCTCTCCAATTGACGCTTCCCAGAACTGATCTCAGTGGTTGCCCTCCTGAAGTTGGATGCGGCCCTGCCTGTGTGTGTGTTGCAGGAAGCTTAATCGTTTGGTTCATCAAGAAAGGTGCCCAGGCTGACACAACACATGGACACAGTGGGATCTGTTGTAGTAATAAGAGGGCCAGACAGTGGAGGCCTGAGCAACAGTCAATGCTTTGCTACCATAAAGCAAAGCTAAGCTGTGAGCAGAAGGCAGGTCCTGCTCATGGAAACTAGGCAAAGACAGGGCTGCTGATATTGAAGAAAGACACATACCTAGGAAGGACTAGGCCCAGGCCATGTACGTAAACATTCCAGGAGGATGGTAATAGAACATCTCGCTGCAGAAACAGCTCGGTACCAGTACACTCCCCATAAATAACAGGGACATACCGACCCAGGATCAGTACAGGGTCGGGATGACAGCATGATGGATTGGGATGTTTTGATTGAACCACCATACACAAGGTAATGGGAGGTATCTCAGTATGTCAGGGGATGTCAACCGAATACGTTTAAGGGTGGCACCTTGATGTGCAAGAAGTGATATGTAACTTGTTTGTGTCTGTGTATAAAAGTGTATCTCAGAAAGGCCGTCTTGTCCAGCCTAGGGGATAGCAGAAACTCCTGGTCGCTAACTGAGCTCAGACCATTGCCAGGGCTTGCGTATGTACTAGTGTAAACTGTTGACATCTGGTCTAGATGCCCAGGGTGCGAGAGACTGTAAGTCGTTTGACAATAAACCTGGTTCCAGGATTTTGCACCTTGTCTGATTTGTGGTCATAGGGGGCTCTTAGAAGTCTGCGGTGTTGGCTACCTGCGCAGAGCCTGCACAGCATTCGGAAAGAGCACAAGTATTCATAGAGTGCACATGCACCACACGCAGCTGAATGGTTATTAACTCTGAAGGGAGCAGAACAGATGCCAGCGCACCACATGTGCTGGGACTTCACCACCTCCCTTGGGAACCCATTCCAGTGCTTCCCCACCCTCCTAGGGAAATACTTTTTCCTTATATCCAACCTAGACCTCCCCCCACTGTAACTTGAGGCCATTGCTCCTTGTTCTGCCATTGGTCACCACTGAGAACAGCCTCTCTCCAGCCTTTTTGGAACCTCCCTTCAGGTAGTCAAAAGCTGCTATCAAATCCCCCCTCACTCTTCTCTTCTGCAGACTAAATAAGACCAAATCCCTCAGCCTCTCCTCATAAGTTGTGTGCTCCAGCCCCCTAACATTTTCATTACCCTCTGCTGGAATTTCTCCAGTGCCACATCCTTTCTCATCTGCTGTAATCCTCAGGACCTTTTCTGCTGAACTGCTGCTAAGCCAGTCTGTAGCAGTGTTCGGGATTCTTCTATCCCAAGTGCAGGACTCTGCCCTTGTCCTTGTTGAACCTCGTCACATTTATTTTGGCCCAGTTCTCCAATTTCTCGAGGTAACTGTGGCCCCCATCTATACTCTGCCGTGTATCTATTTGTATCTCTAGTTTAGTGTCATGCACATGTAACCACCACCAGGTGGATTTGAATCTTGGATCTCTGAAGCAGGGTATAGGAACCTCTACTCTCTGAGCTAAAAGTCAGCTGGCTCCCAGCCCATGCTGTAGAGGTCTCTTGGTCTTAACTGTTGCTGTAGTCTAGGTACCACTTGCATTGCTCAGTAACCACACTAGGGGCACGTCTAGACTGGCAAGATTTTGCGCAACAATTGCGCAACAATTGTTTTTGCGCAAAAACTTGCCAGCTGTCTACACTGGCCGCTTGAATTTGCACAAGAGCACTGACGTTCTAATGTAAGAATTCAGTGCTTCTTGCGCAAATACTTTGATGCTCCCGCTCAAGGATAAGCTCTCTTGCACAGGAACACTTGCGCAAGAGGGCCAGTGTAGACAGGCACCTTAATTTTTTGCTCAAGAAAGCCCAATTGCTAAAATGGCCATCGGAGCTTTCTTGCGCAAAACCGCGACTATACTGGGCATGGATGCTTTTCTGTAAAAGCACTTTTTGTGCAAAAGCATCCATGCCAATCTAGATGCTCTTTTACAGAAATACTTTTAACGGAAAAACGTTTCCGTTAAAAGTATTTCTGCAAAATCATGCCAGTCTAGAAGCACCCAAGGTGTGAGGGTTACTCACAGACTTGCTGAGGATGCTATCCATCCTCTCAGACAGGTCATTAATAATCAGGAAACTCTGCAGGGATTAAGGGAGTTATATTATATACATTACCCCTCCCCCCCCCCCCCCCCCCAGCTTTGGATGTGATTTTGCTCTAGGACACAACTCCAGTAAGTAGCCTGCCTCTGAGTGCTCTTATTTATGACCTGGTGCTGTTGCTATATCAGTGCATAACACAGAGATTACTTTTCACTGTGACAGGGCCTGGGTTACTAAGGAGTGGTTTAAAAAGCTGAGTTATTTCTACCATTTGGGAAAGTTGCCTGTGTAGTAAGTTGAGGGTCAGTAACATGGAGTCAGCAAGCCTAAGGCCTATAACATGAAAACAGCAACAGTCCTGCAATCTAGTGAGCAAGACTTTGGTTCAGTAACTCAGATACTCATAACTGTGTAATTGTGTAAGTTAGGACACAGGGAGGCACGGAGAACAGAGTGTAAGCCGAAAGGGAGTAACGGAACATCTTAAGCAATGTCCTGGTATAAAAACTCCCTAAACACAAATGCACATACCAACCTAGGTTCAGGACACTGTAAGTAGCATTTGCCTGCTGTCATTGCAGTCATCTGCCGCCACACTCCCTGGGCCACTTCATCAAGAAACTACTCTGTCTAGCCCTCTCAGGGCTTCGAGGTCAGGTGACGATTAGAGGGAGGAGACGTCAATGCAGAATGTAGCCTTTGCGATGCACTGATAAGATATTAGGTGTAAGAACGTTCCTGGGCTATGAACTTCCACAATGCTGAGGTCAGCCACACTGGGTCGGGGCACCCTTGACTAATTCCCCTTTTATCCCTCAGGTTTGAACTCAAAGGTCCCAGGCGATCACCTTCTGCGGGTGTATTTGCCCACTGTGTCACGAAGCTCTTTGGTTTTGGCCCCATAAATGACGGGGTTGAGCATGGGAGGGAGGAGGAAGTAGAGGTTGGCCATAATGATGTGAACATGGGGTGCGATTCCCTGACCGAACTGGTGTGTCAGGTTGGAGAAGAGGAAGGGAGTATAAGAGGTCAGCATCACACTGATGTGGGCAGTGCAGGTGTTGACGGCTTTCTGGTGGGCTTCCTTGGAGGAGACTTTGAGGACGGCCCTGATGATCCGAGAGTAGGACAGGCCAATGAGTGTAAGGTCGCACCCAAGGACGACAAAAGTTATCCCCAAGCCATACCGCCTGTTGACTGTGATATCCGCACATGCTATTTTTGCCACTGCCATGTGCTCACAATACGTGTGGGGGATACGGCGGTTGTCACAGAACGGCAGCCTGCTCAGGAGCACAGGGATGGGCAGCATGAGGAGAACAGCTCTTGTTAAACCCACAAGCCCTAGCTTAGCGATTCGTGCATTGCTGAGGATGGTGGTGTATCTCAGAGGGTCACATATGGCAACATAGCGATCGAAGGCCATTGTTGTAAGGACAGCTGAGTGCGTCATGGAACTGCCATGTAGGAAGAACAACTGTGTGAGGCAACCTCCCACCGTAATGCCTTTCCAATTGAACCAAAATATACACAGGGCCTTAGGCACAACGGAGGTGGACATGGCAATGTCCGTGAACGCCAGCATGCAGAGCAGCAGGTACATCGGCTTGTGCAGGGTCTGCTCTTTGCCAACAATAAACAGAAGGGTGACATTTCCCAACAGGCTGAAAATGTAGCAGATGCAGAAAGGGATGGCAATCCAGACGTGGGCATCTTCCAGGCCAGGGATGCCCATTAGGATGAAGGATGAAGGTTCAGAGGGGGTGAGATTGAAAGCTGCCATGAGGTGGGCAGTGTGTGGATTTGGCTCCAAAATGCTCCAGGTATCTATGAAGGGAGAAGCACAGCAAAGGGGGTTACACACTTTCGAAGAAAACATACAATACATGTGCACAGTCAGTCAAATGTAAGAAAGGGGTATGGACATGGACACATTTACAGTTTTTCCCATGAAATGTAGATCATAGGCAAGTCAACAGAAGTCCTTCCAGTGAGCTCACCACACCAAGGGAATGGACAACATGGCTGATGAACTTCAATGCCCAGCCTTGCATCATGTGCTTCTTGGAGCGGGGGGAAAAAGTGTATTCCACAAACACCTATCCAGGTTCTAAGTGAACTGTTTGGACTCAGGGCAGCTCTGTGACACCCTGTTTACAGTGAGTTAGAGAAGAAAAAACAGGTGACCCAGGAGCGGACGGGACAAACGGAACTGCTCTATTGCCCGCTCATGTTTACCTCGGACATTCCGCACAACGTCCGAGTAGCCACAAGTTGGCACCAATTACATCCCATTATCTATTTTAGTATGTTAATTTACACGTCTATCACTACTTTTCTGAAAACCTTATTTAGTAATGTTAACTCCCATGAAATGCATCTTAACAAACAAATAATGAATATAATTACACTCACCCCCTAATTACTATTTACAGAAAATTCTAATGAAATCAACCTTTTCTATACTACAACTTTCTAAATCAGCAGGCGACAGAGATTACAAGAAATGTGAAGATATTTTATACAGAGTCAATGAGGATAAACAAAAGTCACAAGAAAGTAAAGCTGCTATACTTAACTGGTTTCCTAGGCTACAGGAACGAAGGGAAAAGCTTGTTTTTACATCAGAAAGGATAATACCGGTTTTGGCCAGACTCTTGATCTATCTTTCCAAACTACAAAAACAAATAGGAAACAGCATGTTTAAAGGGTAATGCAGTGGCTGACCCCTTAACCACTAATGTACAGCCATTTCAGACCCCTATTAATTTTTACATAGCTCAACACAGTGCAACCAGGCATGGAACCAAAGCAAAACTTTGGGATTTGGAAGGAGGGAAATGAGGAATCATAGAGAAGAGACAAGTCCCTGGGAACCATCAGTCACTGTTTCACTCTTCTCTAGACATCTCTGCACGGTGGTAGGCACACTTTGCAAATAGGATAGAGGGATGCATGGGACGGCAGGGAAAATGTCTGCATGCCAGGGTTTTATATGGCCTACGACCAGGATAATTACCTTGGAATGGAAATGAATAGCCGGGGATATGAGAAAAGTGTATAAATTACTGACTGCTGAAGAGTAGATGGAAACTCTGTTCTTCCTGTCTCACAACGTGATATCAAGAGGCCATTCAACTGAGGTGAAATGTGGCATTTCAAAAGAGTTCTCTTCACTCAATGTCTAATTGACCTCACATTGCCTAATATTTACCTGCTTTAGTGAGACGATCCAGTTACAGCTAAATACTACTTTTTGAAAGACTACATGACTGTGTTTACAAGGGTGTCAGGCATTAGGATGACACCATCACTAGATGGACTATCGGTCTGATCCACAATGCAATTCCTGTGTTGGAATGGAACTGACTTTCCCCCATGGAAAGAGACATTATTCTTCTTGACTAAGACCTCCTGGGCAAGAAGCGGGCAAGGGTCTCAGTATTTGAGGCCACATACATAGGCACCTTGGTTACT